TATATATATATATAATTAAAGTACATATATTAATCTCTTGGGCATTTTCCACTTATATCATGGAACATTATACATGATATATTAGTCTCTGAGCAAAAAATGCACTGATATTAAATGAGACTCTTTGTTCAGGGTAGGGAAATCTTACCTCCTTACAATACTTTTGTTGACACTGCTCAGAGCAGAAGAACAGCCAATTTTTTCCATGTCGGCTGTAATAGTGGACCTTCTGCTTGCAGACACAGCAACACTCATCTGAAGAAAATAATATAAAAAAATCTAAGCTATAATATTCACCTGAAAAAGCAGTAAAAATAAATAAAAACAAAACTTTTCAGAGGTTACAGAACAACAACAAATTACCACTCATTAAGCCTGACATCCACACTGTCTCTCTAACAGTTGCCTGGTTTTATTTTCTGTGTTCTATTCACATGTAGCAGCTATCTAACTTAAAGCTCCAACTGATAATGCTGTGACACAGGCAACATGCATTTAGACAAGAAAATCAATGTAGGACACATCAAGCAAACAATGTACAAGGATGTGTGCGTTAGTGTACAGTAGATACAGTATGTTTGCATAATCTATGCATCATGTAGACCTAACCTTGCTTTTCATCTAAAAATGGTTAATGAACATCTAAATATGAAACAATTGAAATCATCCTTATTTAAATTAAGAGGACTGATCTATAAAATTTAAAATAAAAGCAATTATAAAAGTAATCAAGAATTCTGGATAAGCATATGCCCATAATATAGTGCTACTGCTAACAGGTATATTTTTTTAGATAAAGCGTGGCCAAGACAACAGGCTAAAGCAAGTTTGGTTGACAGTCAGCCTTCCCAATCCAGGAAAGTATCTGCATGTCAAAATATCTCAATAATAAGCAAGAAGTTGGGGCAAAACTGGTTGAGAGGCAAATTTTTGTATCTAAGAATCTACCTGTTTGTCAAAATATCTCATAAATAAGCAATTTTCATTACATCTACTCGTAGTTGTACAGTTGATGGAGATCAATAGTTTACCTCAAGCAACCAACAGCTCAGTGAACCTAAACATAGTAACAAGTGCCCAGAGTAAATCACCTTATTGATCCCCTTCCCTGTCACAATTAATTATAATTAAGCATGTATCCATGTTCCATATAAAATATTTGCATTGAAAACAAAAGGATTTTCCTTACAAAACAGTGTCAGAAAAAAAATCAATGAGTGAAAAATAATATAATTTCACATGGTGTCCATTTGTATGATCACTAGGTTATTTCATATCAAAATAGAGTACAAAATAAAATGCTGAAACATTCAAAATTTGATAAAATTTGTATTTTCCTTTTATTCAAATATACTTCAATCAAATATAATAAATCTCTCATCCTTGCCTGTTCAATAAACTGCCAATAATAGTACTGGCTAGTGCTTTTTCCTCACAAAAATACAATTAACACCTTTTTCTTGAAAAAATGCATTAAAAGATAATAAAATATCAATACCTGAGCTTGCCATTTGAGGTTCTCCTAAAGTCATCCCTTCTTATACGAACTTTCACATTTTCCTAACAACAGATCCTCATTGGTGATAAACAGTTTCCTGTACCTTACAAGTGACTGTCAAATGTCTTGTCCACCTGTACTTATTGTACCACGAAGGAGAAACTAGAACACAGGTCACAACAACACAATGAAAGCAGTGAAGCAGAAACATCAGGAAGGTATTGTATAACCCCTTTGGTCACTTATCCATATTGTCACCATGGGGATAATGTCAGATGAGGAAACAAATACATTGTAAAAGAACAGATTATGTCAGTAATAATAAATTGAACAGTTAACGTCATGCACTGAATGTTAGACATCTGAAAAGAGTTGATTTATATAAGCTGTACCATGCACACATCATTATTGAACTTGTGAACTTAATATAAATACACCAGTACAATTGTCTCTTTAGAAATGTGAAAGTGCACGAACTGAAGAGCACATGCCCTCCTGTTAAAAGCTGTGGATTATATGGTTTAAAGCCTACGTCAATCCACAACAAAGGCATGAAACTTCCATCTTGCATCATTGCCAGGGCCCAGGAGTTTGCTTCCCCTAAGGTGTCATCCAACATCGGTTTAAATAATAAAAATGTCTTTAGATTTAACTTCTGGAAGTAGATGATTTGAATGCTTTCTAATGGCTGGTTCGAGCTGTGGAACCTTTACAGCTGTTCATTTTATATCATTATTTAATTTTTTTAAATTTGTTAAAACATATTATTTCTGTTCAGTAGGCTTATTGGCTCCCTTTTTGACTGAGCATGTCTAATCAGTTTTGTCAGCAAGAACTGGCAGCAGAAATATGTGATGCCGATTAATCATCACAAATCAATGTGTCCATAGTTCCACTCTTCTCTCCAAAGCAGGAAGGGCGATTGCTATATATGCGTTTCGATTGCTTCTGGTTGTGAATATGTTACTGCACCCCCCCCCCCCCCCTCCCTCCACATCTAGTACTTCCTTCGTCATTCATTCCTGTATTCTGGGATCTAAGAAACGCAGTAAACGCCGGAAAGTCTGCCGTTTCTCTTGTACGCAAACGTCGGTGGGTTTGGTAAGACTTTTCAATTTAGAGCAATTCAATTCAAATATTTCGCCAGCACAGCCAGTACATATCAGAACCGTCAGTAGGACTAGGAGTGCTAACGCATGGATTTTGGTGCTACATTGTTGATGGAACAGAGAACATTTAAAAAATACCAATTCAATTCATTATGCTAACTAACGGTATTTATGAACGTATTTACGTCTGTTATTCTACAATTTCAGTGAATATAATTTTTCTAAACGGTTACTTCAAAGTTTCTCTTATTTATGACTCTTAATACTCCCCGAAATTTCAACGCATTACGTTTACAGTATATTTTACCCTAGCCTGCACAGTTTTATTGAATTTTTTAAAACTGTAATGAGAAGTAAAATTCATCGCTTAGTATTTTGATAGACTCTAATGCATAAAATTCAGGTTCTTATCTATATTTACTATCAACATATTTTCCCACCTGCCACTTTGATTGGGAGTTTGTGATTTGTTGCTCTAGATCTAAATCTTAATTTTGTAAGATTTCATTTTCGGGATTTATAAAGTAACATTTGAATGAATAGTCGTACCTGTACGGAGTAGGACTACTATCCGTTTTATGACAGGAGTCGATGCTTTTATTCTTTTTTGCTGTTAAATACGCTTGCGGTGAATGCAATAACGAGCCTCGCCAGCACTGATTGTGTTAGATGTCCCGGTTGAGATCATTGCTCTCCCGTTCTCGCGCGCCCTTGTAGCGATTGTGAATGCGGACATTTTGAAACAAGACAGCCGACAAGAAGAGGTGGATCTTCCGTTGAACCAAAGTAAGTTGCTTATGATTATTAAAGTATTTATGCTTTAAATCAGCACTGATTGATCATCAATACAGAAAGCAGATCAATAATTTATCGCAATAATTCGAGGGTTCAGTACGATGAGCGCAGTTTCTGCCATCAAGTTTTCTCTTTTTCTAAGCAGCAGGGCTACTACTGCTAGGCAGGTGTTGGAGAGTCTCTGTGAGAGTGGACGTGATGGGTGCTTTATGACTTAACTCTTCCAGTGGATGACCGATTATTGGAAGTAACATTGCCTGCGAACGGGGCCGTGTGAACTACAAATAAAGGTGTAATCACAAAATTTCTACATTGCTCTAGCAGGGTCCACGCATGATTTTATTTGTAATTTGTACATTTGATCCTTGAAATTTTACACACAGAAAGCTACATATCTGGGTATTTATAAACCATTAATTTTTTTATCAATGGCACTAAGATCAAAAGTTATTCAAGTTTTAGTGACATATTGTTGGTCACCTTTTTCAGATACCACTTTCAAAAAGTTGGCCCACTTAATTTTCACCCCATAAAATGCCATAGGAACTTGAAATTTGTCACACAATAAGTAAAGGAGCTAGGTAGAGTACACAGTTTAAATTTTAATACTAAGATTTTTCCAAAGCAGAGTAATGTCAGTAATGTTCATGTGAAGTAGGCAAAGTTATAGAATTTAGGGCCACAGATGAGTACCATATGGGAAATACCACGCTCGGCTGTCACCTTGATTGGATAGTAAACGGTTGTCGTAAAATCGCTAAATGATATTAAAACCCGGTGCATAAACTTGAAAACCACCTAGGACAACCTTAGACTGCCACATTAATCCAATACAATGCAAAAATAAACTATAACAAGTGGTTAAAGCCTTCAAACCGAATGTCGTAAAGTCCCCATATACCTCCATAGAGACAATAAAATAGAATAAGCTTCTGAAACAAGAAAAATCCAGTTCCAACATAATAATCGAAATAAAATACTGCCGGGCATCGGAGCGGCCTAAAACTTGGCACGCTTACCGCTAATACTGCAGGCTACATCATCCCGTCGCTCGTTTGTAAATTCCGTGCATGGCATACGCACAATCAAACCGTATATCCAAATTCCACCTCTGATGTTTGAATTGGTCCTCTCTAACCTACCATTACGAAAAAGAAGCCATGCCATTGGACAATGCGACCTCTGCGGTTACGTCATTTCCTGAATTGGATTGTAGAGAGGACCAATTCAAACATCAGAGGTGGAATTTGGATATACGGTTTGATTGTGCGTATGCCATGCACGGAATTTACAAACGAGCGACGGGATGATGTAGCCTGCAGTATTAGCGGTAAGCGTGCCAAGTTTTAGGCCGCTCCGATGCCCGGCAGTATTTTATTTCGATTATTATGTTGGAACTGGATTTATCTTGTTTCAGAAGCTTACTATATTTTATTGTCTCTATGGAGGTATATGGGGACTTTACGACATTCGGTTTGAAGGCTTTAACCACTTGTTATAGTTTATTTTTGCATTGTATTGGATTAATGTGGCAGTCTAAGGTTGTCCTAGGTGGTTTTCAAGTTTATGCACCGGGTTTTAATATCTTTTAGCGATTTTACGACAACCGTTTACTATCCAATCAAGGTGACAGCCGAGCGTGGGAAATACAAATTGATACAATTATCTTTCAAAGCTTATGCAATAAAACTTGACCTGCTAACCCTAGCTGAATGGGGAACAAGAGGGGGAGGGGTAACAAAATTTACGAAATAAATCTTTTTCCAAACTTTCTCAAAATCTGACATGCTGGTGAAAAATTTAAGTTCTTCTTTAATACACATTGTCTCTTGCCACCCTTTGCCTAAAATTTTTACTTTCAGCCTTTCTACAAAAATTTCAGAGGTTAAAAAAAAGAGGGGGGGCTCATGCTTATATTTTCTCTTTTTATATATTCATATGCTCTATATATCAAGAAGAGTAAGTACCTTGATAACATTGCATCTGTTTATGCTGTAAATTGCAGTGACTAAGTTTCATAAGGAATTATATAAATGTTGCAGCATTCCAATTAAAATCATACCAGAACAAGGACAGGGGGATCACTCAGTCGCTGCAAATGTCATGGATAGGCAGGGGTATGTTTGTGTCTAACATTAAGATGTCTTACTGTATAAATCTGTTAAAATTGTCAAAAAGTATCACTCGTCCTCATATGAGTTCAGCCAGAAGAGTTTCATGTACTTAACCTTTGTTAAAAACTTAACATTTTCCTACTTTATTGATTAATTTTGAATGACTGATTTTTTTGCCATTTTCTTTAATGAATTATATTAATTTCTTTAGCATTTGAATGAAAATCATACCAGAACAAGGACAGGAAGATCATTCAGTGGCTGTGGATGTCATGGATAGTCAGGGGTATGTTTGTGTCTAACATTAAAACATCTTATGTAGGTCCAAAGTACTTGGGGGTTATACTAGAAACAAATACTGAGTTTAACTTCAGACCCAATAGTATATATTTTGTCGTACATTTTGTGATATCTGCATTCTGAGTATTTATAGCTGATGACAAACCACAATAAAATGGGTGTCTTCTTCCTTTGACCTGTGACCCAAAGCCCTTTGAATTATTTCTCCAATTTCTTCACCATTTTATCATTGTGACAGCTGTTAATGTAGGCAGAGGATGATAGTAAATCTTCTATTTTATAATCTTATCAGAGTTATTTTTAACAGTATTGAACACCATTTTACTGCAAAAGGTAATTTTTTTGAACACCACTCAAGTTTTTTCTTGTATATATCTAATATTGTGGCACATTTCTTAAGCAACTATAAATATTAGAGCTTAAAATATTCACATATATATAAGTTAATTATAGGGTTGAAGCTTGATCGATATCAAGTTAACATTGTGAAAAATTATGAAGAACAGCCAGTGAAGTTTACCCCAAAATCTCATAGGTGGAAAGGAAGATTAACATGTGTCTTATCTAGTGAATGATGGATCCAATACTGGCTTGATATTTCTGATTTACCTAATTTTTTTTTCCAGTTTATAAATTGGTTGCAGTAATGAGAAAGAAACTGACCCTGTCAAATTTTAGTATGAAAGCTAAACATTTTAATATAAAAAAGTTATTGCTTTATCTTTACTTAATATTATATTGAACTGTTAGGGATATTAATGGCATATTTGGTGTTGCCGTTAGAATTATAAAGGTGTTTCTACATAGTTCTTGAAAATATTTCATTTGTGATTGAAAATGTTTGTTGTTGACCAGTCCTTTTCGAAATATGTCCTTATCTTGCCATTGTTGTTTTCAGGGATGCAAGCTTCTTATCTGAGGAGAATAATGAAATGGAGCGTATTCATCAGTCTTTACTCCAAGCATGTGAAAGTGAGAGTGCGGAAGATGAGACTGATGATGGAGAAGGCAAAAGGGAGGGCTGTGACACCACCATGATTCTTGACGACCAGGACATAGAACAGTTAATCAAAGATTTAATAAGGATCAGCCATGAAGAATTCATGAAAAGCCGCCAAGACCAAGAGCAAATGGTGGCTGAGATAGTGGACATGTGTGAGAACAGTTCTCTGGACAAGTTAAACCTGTCTACTTATTCTTTGCAAGAAACATTAGAATCTGCAACTGATAAATTGATTCCGCTACCCCAGATTGCAGAATTGGAATCAGAGCCATCTTATACACCTGGAAAAAAGTTAAGTGCCATAGACTTGAGAGAGGTGACAACTTTCACTGATGCAGTGCGGGATGATAAATCTCCAAGCTGTCTGGACACTGTTACAAGTGAAACTGCAAGCGATACAGAGAATAAATTCTCTGTGATGGAGACTGCTGATACTGAAGAAGTGAAACCCGCAGCAAACCTAAGTTCACCTGCCCCTTGTGCAGAGGCATTTTCTGGTGGAAGCACAATAAACCCATCCTTTCAACAATCAAAATCTGAGGTACCTAGTTTGAGTCAACTGGTTAAAGAAGCTTGTTACTCAGGAGAAGAAGTCTGTAATTTGCCACCATCTAGAGGAGAGGCTGTTGAGATTATGGAAGCAGGGCTGATTTTGCCTGATGCAAATGTACCAGAAGCAGAAATGCCATGTATTACCCTGAAAGGAGGACCATTAATGTCCACACCAAGGACCAATAAATTCCAAAAAAACAACAAAGATCCATTTTCTCCTATAATAGCATTTCCTTCCTGTACTAAAGGAATTGACACAAGCACCCCCGGCAGATTTAAAGGTGTTGAAAAAGTAAGGCATTTCAAAGAATTTAAAGCGTACAGTGATGGTGAGGATGAGGAGGAAGAATCTGAGCCAGCTACAGCAGGTAGGAAAATACTAAAAGCTAAGAGGCAGATACAGCTGTTGCCAAGCTCAAATCTTGATGGAAATATCATGCAGTCAGCAGGTGATAACACAGGGGTTACCCTACCACAAAGCAAAAAAATAATACCTAATGAAGATGACACTTTAGGCAAGCTGACTGAGCAGAGTGAAGAGCAGAGAGACTTTAAGGGGGACAAAGATGATGTTAACCTGTCTGTGTTAGAGAGGATGCGTTTTTGTCTCTTACAGCAGATTCAAGATATCAACAACTCTGAGCCAGATGAAGCCTTTGAGAGCCATACTCTGTGTGCAGAACAGGCTCTCAAGACCAAAACCACTGATACCACTGAACAAATAGTTAAAAAAATAGAAAGCAAATCATCTTTCATATTGTCCCTCCAGTCTGCAGAATTTCTGCCTAGTGTATCAGGTGACTCAAATGCAAACAAATCGAAAGTAGGAGAGAAACCAGGGGAAAATAAGGCTGAACAAAATATTTCTACTGAAGAAAATAAACTAGCTGATACCAAGGTTATACCCAGTCACACAAAGCAAAATATGATAAAAGAACCAGAAATTCAAGAATTAGACATTGCTACCAAAGAAACCAGATGTATCATTCCAGAGAGGTGCCAAACTCATTCAAATGATCTTACCTTGCAACATGATGCCAAGACCAAAGTGGTCCAGGATGGTAAAAAGACTAAATTTATTAGCCACTGTGCAACATCTGTGAAGGATGTGCCTGTAATATATGTGAGTGGTCTCAAAGTGAAGGAACAACCAGTCGAAAAAGATGCTAGTTTACCTTTTAGCCAAATTGTAAAAGATATCAAACAAGATACAAGAGAACCCCCAGCTCCAGTTGTATTCAGTGATATGGTGCCAGACACATGTACAAGCCAAAACAATAACATTAAAATTGCACAAGAAATAACACCTCTGCCAAATAACATCTTACCAGTTGGATCCCAAACTCCAGTAGAAGAAGCTGAGATATCCGCTGCTGATAAAGCGTTCCCACTTGAAAAAGATTCCATTCCTGTTCTCGGTGAACCTGGACAAAGCAGTGATGAAGGACAAAGAGAGACCTCTATTCCTGTTGCAAAGAAAACAAAAGAAAGAATATGCATAAGTCCAATTAGATACCCCACCACATTGAATGAAGTGACCAATAAATCTGTCAAAACTGACAGTTCTTCATATAAAAGGGATTCCTGTAGCCAAGGAAAGCAAAAATCAAAAGTACAAGAGAGACCAAAGAATACTTCTTTTGAAAAAGAACAAAAGAAGGTAATGTTAGATACCAAGGAAAACCAGAGGATGAAGGAAGTCAAGGCTAGATGGAAGTCGAAGGGCATACCATCACCAGAGGTTAATCTCACCTGTGCCAGTTACTGGAGAAAAAGAACCAAGGCCTCTACTTCAAAGTCAGGTTTACTGGAGGGGTCATCTCTACACAGCATACCATCAGTTAAGATACCAAACAAACTGAAACGTAAACGTAAGGAAGATTCCACCATGGAAGACACCACAAAGTACAAGAAACCAAGGATTGAAGAGGCAAAAGGCAGTGACCCTTATGAATTAAAGGAAAAAGTTGGGCAGCAGTTGGATGAGTTAAAAAGCCAACTCAATTCTACTATTAACAAGATAATGACTGATTTCCAGTCTGAAAAGTACAAACTAGAAATGGAACACATTTATCAATATCAGCACCTCGTGATGAAACAAAAAACAGAAATTATGGGATATATGAGCAACCAAGCTGCTACAAGACACCTCAATTGTGAGCATTCATTTTTGTTGCATAACCTTCGTCGTGGTCAGAAAAGGGAAATGTCTGAATTGGACACCAAATATAGGGGAAAAATTAAAGAAAAGGAAGCAAGTTACCAAAGGCAAAAGGCTGCTATAAAAGAAATTCTAAAACTTCAGACACAGCAGACAAATAATGTGGTAGGGTCCCTGTATGTTCCAGTTTCCTTCAGTTCGAAGTGTTCCAATGTGGCAGAACATGTCTCCCTCCTCCCAGCAGGGATAGCAGAGGAAATGATTGCAGAGGATGTTCTGTATGATAGATTTTATAAACATGAATGACCGGAATCCTTTGTTACAGTATTCTTTTTACTGTAACAACATATTTTGAACAGTCAGCTCTTTATCTTCAAAGGGGACAAATTACTAGCAGTAAGGGTTTTAACAGTTCAGTGCCTACTAAACATTCAAGTTAAAAAATCTTGCCACATATTTTTGTGTCAGTTTTGAATTTCAAGTTCTACCTTTTATTTAACATGCGAGTTAAAAGAATTTATATAGTTGACAGCAAATTAATTTTTTTTTTTTTCTTAATGAATAGTATGTATTAAGGCATGTGCACATGTGCATGGTAGTGTTAAGTAGAACTATACGTATTTAAGAATCTTTCCATAGCCATACACATTTTTGCTCATAATACATATCAAGCTAAGAGAAATTTATCCAGACCCTGATACTAGCACAGTGCTGAAATTTAAACACTTGTCTTGGTTTTTGTTTGTTAAATGATTTATTTTACCTGTTTATTCCTTTATAATTACCAATATAATTCCATTATTTTATAAATTCCTAATGATCATTTTTACTTATTACCAGAATTATACTTTTTATTTTGAAACTTGAACAATAATAATTTTGGTTGTGACTTTTTCTTACAGATTCAAATAGGTGGATGACTGAAACTTAAAAGCCATTTTCAGGATCACCTTTTCCAATTTTTGAAGTCTTGAAACGATTCAAATTAATTTTTAAATTTGTTTTGTCCACAATTAAGAGTTAATTTTTTCAAAGTTTATGAAGTTTAAATGTTTAAGCCATTACTAAGTTAAGTTGTACAATGCAAAGCTATCAATCAACTATTTTTGACAAAATTTCTTAACAATTGAAATTTTTTACACAATGTTATATAAACAAAAGATCTATTTCCATGTGCTAAGTTTACTAAAAATTCAATTAAGTTGTTTTAGTAGTGATGTAAATACAGTTCTAATTTCTCATGTATGATTTTATAACAAAATGTATTTTTGGTGATTTCTCAGTTTTTAAATAATAACATATCCCAGGCTTTACTTATTGAGCGTAATGCAATGAATACAATAGATCATGCTATTTAGAATAATGGTACTTAAAGATTCCAAACAAAAGTAATTGAGAAGTACTACAGATTTTTGAGAGCCAAATTCATATTAACACAATTTTAGCAGTTAGGGTTGTAATTATAGTAGCACCAGCGTTAGCGTTGCCAGTTCTCATGGTTTTAGTCCTGACCAGCAGGTGCTGGCTCTGCAGTGAAGTCACCTTTACTGCTTCTCCTGTTAGACTACTTTTTTTGCTAGGAACTGTACTTCGCTAATTTTCCATACATCTCCAAAACTGGCAGAAATACACCCATAGTTACTATTGGACTTGAATAGGAAGTCGTATGTTGGGTAACTTAACGTAACCTTGAAATTGACCTACTTTGCAAATTTTCTAGCACTTAGCATATTTACCAGCCCCTGTTTTTGCACAACTAAAATAGGTACATCTATTCAATTCAAATGAGCTTAATGTCATTCATGGTACAATATCTGGCAGCTGTATTGCCTCTCTGATCCTTTACTTTTTGTTAGAGTAGATTTTTACAGTTATTAGTAAATAAAGTATACATTTTCAGATTTTTATATAAATTTTCTATCAATTTATAGTAATTCTATTTGGGCATGATTTTGGCTTTAAATGTAAACTTTATGTTTGGCATGTTATTCAAATTTTATTTGTCATAGTCACACAGCATAACAGGGACATTTCATGCAATAAAAGGTTAAAACGGAATGAATAGTTCCATCCCATTTCCATAAGGTCATTCACACGTTCATTTTCATGACAGTCACAGTTCTTGCAAGTTTTGCAATAGAAATGTGATTTTTTTATGAGAACGATCCATGAAACGTAGACTAATTTGTTGTACTTTTTCTTTTTTTGAAAAACTGCAACATCTGAATTTGTGTGAGGCAGTCATTAAATTGAAAGTTGAAACTAAATGGAACAAAACCCAAAATCATTTTATAATGAAAAACTTATTATTATTAAAAGATATTATCTATCTGTATAAATAAAATTTCCATTTCTGATACTAATGTGAAACCAGCAACCCACCCAAGTGGCACTGACACTCATAAAACTTTTAATCATCAGTCAATTTTGAAATTAAAGGCACATTTTGTAATAAAAAAATTTAACAGCTAACACCTATTATTTAAAAATGTAGATCCCATACGTAATGAATTTGATATGTGGGCATCTTCCCTGTACACGTAGGTAGATGCTGAAAATTGTGGGGGGAAAGGTCAAATATATCAATTTTAATCAGAAGAAGAAAAATTATTCAATTTTGATAATTGCTAAAATCATAGTCAAGATTTCATAAATGCCTTGTGACCTGAGACAGTAAGCTGGACAAAAATTGAGTGGGTTACAAAAGTACTTCGGAAAAAAATTAGTTGTCGGTCCAAGAAGGTGTGTTTATTTCATTCTATCAAGATGTTATTTCAGTTGAAAATAGATTTTTTTTCCAAAGTTCAAATTTGCCTGCAATTTGAAGAATGAACTTAAAATATTTTCCACATTTTTCCTACAGTTATAGGTTGTAAGTCAGTGGCTATAGAATTTCAGCAGCATTTTTGCATGTATATATATATATGTATATATATATATATATATATATATGCACTAATCTAACTCTTTCTTAAGCTTTGCAAGAGCCATAAGGCGCTGATCTCTCCACTGTCTGCGCTCTTGGAGTTTGTCCAGTGGAATTTTCTTGCAGAGTGCCTCCTGCACTTTTTCTGCTGTCTCACTTGAGGGGTCTATTGTAGGCGTGGGACCAAAGGACTGGACAACATTATAAATACCCTGCCCATACCTTTCACAGTAGTTCACCACACCTGCAATTAATACCTTTCAGATTATTCATTTACTTGAAAATAACCTACAAATAAAAATCATAAGATGAAAGTTAAATTGTTAGGAAAAGGACAGAATAGAGTGGAAAAGCAATTCATATTTTTGTTGTATCGCATAATTAATATGTAAATCACAAATAATACATCATATAGTTGTGAAAAGTTAAGTTCTGAGCTTTGCATACATCAACAAGGTCTGTAAATTCAAAAGAGAAACTTGTTTAAAAAAAGAAAGAAAACTTCAACTATCACACAAAGTGAAAATGTATCCATGATTACAATCTTATTTCTATTGCACCAATGCTTGGGCAGCAAAAGGTCTTTGCCTTCCATATTTTAATTGGTTGCAAACTTATAAGTGCTTAAAGGCCCGGGGTTATTTACTTGATCATTGTATCATAAAATGGTTGGACAAGAGGGGAAAACAGTCTAAAATGTGTGTATAGGGGGGGGGGGGCATGTGCAACAATCCTGGGGTTGTCACTAGAATTTTATGTGAGAACTAATCCTTACCCTCTGCATTGAGATGAATGGTTTCCATTGGTCCCATGAAAGCATAGCGTGGTGCCAGTCCACATGTCATGACTGTATCTATATCTTCTACACTTAGTACACCATCCTGCAGGAAAGATGGATCATGAATTGTTTTTTCTCTTTATACTTTGGTTCTGCTTAAGATTTTTAACAAGCTTTTCAACAACTAACATATCCACTGGCAGTTGATGCAATTGTATTTTCTAAATTATTCTTATGAAATATAACTTTGAATCTTCTCCTACATGTAAATGATACATTTAATCTGACACAATGCATCAAGTTGACAAGAAGAGTCAGCATCAGAATATGAAGCTCTAAAAGTTCAAACTTAAATATGATTAAGTAATGGTATATACAGGGGCGTAACCAGACCTTTAAAAATTGTACGCACTTGTATTTCTTTACTAGGGGGAGGGGGGGGGGGCAGAACAATTGTGCCTTTACAATTGATACAGAGGATTTGTACATACAGGTGACTTTAATAAGCAGAGGATTTTTTTTTATATTCCGTGAAAAATACGCTAAATTTATATAAAATAATATCATGGTTGGCCAAAAAATTGTACGCACAGTGCATCCGTGCGTATGCCTAGTTATGCCCATGATATATATTACATGTACCATGAATATAATCAACATTTATTACACGTAAAAAGTAACAATTTAATGTCATAAACTAGGACTAGACTGATTACCTGAATAAGTCTCCAACATTCAGCAAGAATTGCATACTGCACCCTGTTTAAGGCAAACCCATCCACTTCTTTCTTCAATACGACAGGTGCCTGACCTAGCTTTGTCATCACCTCTTTAGTCTGTGTGACTAGCTCTGGCTTTGTGTATGGGGCTGGCACCAGTTCTACTAGTGGCACATAGAAAGGGGGGTTGATCTACATTAATAAAAATGATCAACATAGACATTTGCAGGGATGAGACCAGTCCTCACTGAAAAAGTAGGAATTACATGATTCACCCAATTTACACGATTCACAAGAATGACCCAAATGACCCTGAAAATATCAGAATTCAGACAAAAGTTGAAAAAGTCTCATCGGTGCATTTGACTGACATCAATTATTACAGGTCTACCTCATACTCTGTGCATAAGATTGTATGAAGAGTGAACCCATCTAAGAAAATATGCTTCCTTCCATGGCAATATTATCAATAGGTAAGGATGAAACAATGTACTGGTACACATATTTGATGCAGCTGTGAGATTATTTTAGTAGGTAATGTATATGTGTATGACCTATGGACCCCGATTATTTTAGGAACTGGAAAGGTACAGCATCTCATTCATTCTACATCCATATGAAGATCTGATGAGGCTTAAAACACTTATACTGAGTACCAATACACCTTTAAAAATAACCTAAGGCCCAATTCCCATAGACACCACCAGTCTACATAGACTCTCACTGACTGCAATCAGCTTAACTGAATGACACCTCCTGGCGTTAAGTAGAATACAGAAAAGCTGGTGATTATATGAGTACATTGGAACAAGAGGAAGCATGTCATTCAGTTATAGTGCTGATTGTACTTGGTGAAAGTCCCCACAGAGTTGGGCTGATCCAGGTAGACCTATGGTGTATGTGGGAATGGGGTCTTGAACTCACAGGGTGGGCAACCAAAACTTGGCTTTTGTGTTTTAAGTCTTCAGAAAAGAGGGAAGGTACTATACAGCTGGAGGAACTAGCCAGGACTGTCTTGTCAGACACAATGTCATCCAGTTGCTTGAATATCTTCCTCTTCAGTTCCAATACTTCTGGAATGCATTCCTGAAATACAAGGGGATAAATTTACCATGTGAAACTGATTAAAGTTTAGAATGAAAACCATAATATTATACAACTACAAATATTTCTGTGAGTTAATAAAATGGTGGTGTGATCTCTTTAGACTTGGGCTTTTTATGTGTGTCATACAGGTAATAAACAAGAGCTGAAACTGAAGAACAACTTTACAGGGATAAATCGACCAATGATGCTGGAAAAAATGAGATCCTCATTACAGATCATTGCAAAATTAAGTAAACTTCCCTCATAAAATATTTGGACAATGCAAAACTTAAAACAAAAAAAAACTCTGGCCTTGGCAGACTCCTTAATGCTAAGGTCTTACAGTATACATACTCATAGAGTTTACAATTAATGCAATGATATATGTACCTGTACATGTACAGCATCTTTGACACACTCTATTAGACTACTAGATCCTGTTATAAGAGAGAACTGTTCTTCTGCTGAAAGTGTCCCTCTCAACATACCACCATCCTCCAACTTCTTCAGCTGTACATGGATTCCTTCCAGTGCATCTGAAACATTATTGGAAGGTTTACTTTTTTACCAAGAGATCTCCAGAATATACATATGCAGGTATTTTTACTAAAATAAAATAGTGATTCGAGACAAAAAAAAAAAAAAAATGAAATGCACCTTGAATTTCTCTTCTCTGTCATTTGCACTTTTCAAATATAAATTTCAAAATAACAGAACCAACAACAACAAAATAAAAAAATAATAATGTGATCAATCAAGTTTTCTGACAGCACTTATTTAGACTCCGCTCACATGAAAAATCTATTTTCTAAATATCTATTTTCTATTCACGGTATCTTGTGATGTGCTGGAGAATTAATTACAGCTTTGGAAGTAACTGGCTCGCGCTGCCAGTAATTACACCACAGGGTATTCAGGGCACAGACCGTGATCACAAGATACCGCAAATAGAAAATAGATTTTGCATGTGAACGGTCCCTTATTGACAGCATTTATAATAAAATGACAGATAAATAAAATTATTCCAACAAAAAACGTATATTTACCAGCTATCTGTTTTGGTTCTATGTCAAAAACTGATACACTGTAGCCCCCACTGGCAAACAGCATGGCCCACTGTCGCCCAATCAAGCCACTGAAAAATAGTAATATATAAATCGTATTTATATCATCTGTGCACATTGGTAGATAATGCAATTATTTTAATTTCCATCATTTTATTATTCTGGCTTTCAAATTTTTTTTCATTCAAAGCACATGGGTTTGAATAATGCACGCAAAAGTAATATATGTAAGTCTTCATGGAGAACAGAGAATTTGTCTTAAAACTACACACAATGAAAATATTTCAAAATGACATAAAAACCCTTAAAACAAAAAGCACAGGGAATGTTTGAATTATTGACAATAGCAGGGACTGTGCTTGGAAGCTACATTTGATTTTTTAAAGTCTGCTTGAACTTTTCTTTTATTTTGCTACACATGTGTGGTATTTCTAAGTCATTAAAATTTGTGTTATTAGTGCTAATTGTTGGGTGGCAAAAAGAATTGTGTGCAAGTAGCCTAGATTTTTCTACTGGTAAATAGTTACAAGCTAAAAACACACATAAGAGAAGCGGCTGACATATGAGTTTGACCTTTGAACTTTCACCAACACCCCTATTACGACACATACACAACATTAACACCTGTGTGTATACCACAGTATAGCCATGACCCAGTCCTATATTACATGTGTAAGCCACTTAATTGTTGAACAGTACATGCATGCCATGGCGGCTTACCGCGCTCTTCCATCATTTCTGTTCACATTTGTCTGTTTTGCAAGACAGTGAATGTAAAATATGAATAGGAGTATGATAATTTGGAATATCAGACTAGACTAGTATGTAAATCTGCAAACGTATACTACATGTACCAGTATGCTACTGTTTGCGAACGATGGAGTGACCTAAAATGTACTTGTAAGAGACTTAGTGTTGCGTTTNTACTGTTCGAAATTCATGGCACATTACCGTATTTACCAGCTATCTGTTTTGGTTCTATGTCAAAAACTGATACACTGTAGCCCCCACTGGCAAACAGCATGGCCCACTGTCGCCCAATCAAGCCACTGAAAAATAGTAATATATAAATCGTATTTATATCATCTGTGCACATTGGTAGATAATGCAATTATTTTAATTTCCATCATTTTATTATTCTGGCTTTCAAATTTTTTTTCATTCAAAGCACATGGGTTTGAATAATGCACGCAAAAGTAATATATGCTAGTCTTCATGGAGAACAGAGAATTTGTCTTAAAACTACACACAATGAAAATATTTCAAAATGACATAAAAACCCTTAAAACAAAAAGCACAGGGAATGTTTGAATTATTGACAATAGCAGGGACTGTGCTTGGAAGCTACATTTGATTTTTTAAAGTCTGCTTGAACTTTTCTTTTATTTTGCTACACGTGTGGTATTTCTAAGTCATTAAAATTTGTGTTATTAGTGCTAATTGTTGGGTGGCAAAAAGAATTGTGTGCAAGTAGCCTAGATTTTTCTACTGGTAAATAGTTACAAGCTAAAAACACACATAAGAGAAGCGGCTGACATATGAGTTTGACCTTTGAACTTTCACCAACACCCCTATTACGACACATACACAGCATTAACACCTGTGTGTATACCACAGTATAGCCATGACCCAGTCCTATATTACATGTGTAAGCCACTTAATTGTTGAACAGTACATGCATGCCATGGCGGCTTACCGCGCTCTTCCATCATTTCTGTTCACATTTGTCTGTTTTGCAAGACAGTGAATGTAAAATATGAATAGGAGTATGATAATTTGGAATATCAGACTAGACTAGTCTGTAAATCTGCAAACGTATACTACATGTACCAGTATGCTACTGTTTGCGAACGATGGAGTGACCTAAAATGTACTTGTAAGAGACTAAGTGTTGCGTCTAGTTGGTCATCATGTAGACCTGCAATAAACTGAAGTTACTACCTTCCCACGACCGCTACTTTGTCACGCATTTTTAGTCTTGAGGTCTGAGAGGCGTTTCGTTGAAGTGTACTGCTAGAGCAAGGTTCAAGTATTGTTGTGTGCAATGTGTTGAACCACAACCGGGCACACCTAATGCAATCATCTTTAAATAAAAAAGGTCTTAACGTCAGATTTCAAGTACAATTTTCAAGATCGCGAGCACCTTTACTGCTTACATGTCTTGTCAAAACGTAAATAAAAATTGACAAAATGAAAACTATCTACCAAAATTATATTAACAAAGCGCCTCAATTTAACTTTAATTGTTTCTCTTGTGTTTTTTATACGTAATATTACTACCCTCTACCAGGGCAACATATTGATTTTTCACTAGATATTCACTGATATGTCACTGGCTTATTTATTGCACGTTCTCGCGCTAGAGTAAAGTGCACATAATAATTATTAATCTGCGGCCCTGGTAGAGGGCAATATAATACCCAAATGCTTTGAACAGTGACAGAGATCTCTGGAAACTCATACTTATTCATTCTCAATATTAAGGTCCATTAAGCATTTTTATTATTATCTTATTAAAAGCGAGCGAGCAGAAGAAATTTTGTACAAGTGGAACTTAACGAATATCAGTCAAACACCTTAAAAATAAAAATAGATCTTTGTTACTCAATTCTCCAATCGATCTAGTTCATTTTTACTAAAGCAGAAAATATACAACTTGTCGGGAAGCGAGTATGGTGTCTAACTCTAACGTCCCAGAAAATGTCTCGAATGTTTATTTCAAATAACTCAATAGCTTGCGGCTTGCTTCTTGGTGTCGCCGGATTTTTAAAAAATTGCAAAACTTCCTATGCGTCTTTTGGCGCACGTCATTATATTTTAGTTGTTTGATTAATTTTTTTAATTTTATTCATTTATTATTATTATTATTATTATTATTATTATTATTATTATTATTATTCTTTCTTATTCTTTAGCCATAAATAAAATCCTCAATTTAGTTTCATCCATACTATATGTAGCAAGATAATATGGTGACAAGACACAGTCAAAAGTTATGGACGAAACACAGCTAAACTGCATTCTCATATACAAAGTAATTTGCAAAACCTTCGTTACCAGGCTTTGCGAAAAAATTTACTGAGGTTGAGGAAAAATGTGACAGTACAATAAACTTGCATCTCGTAATACCTCTTAACACATTTTAATACCCCTTAACACATTTTAATTTCTTCTTTTTTTTTTTAGTATCAATAACGTGCGAATGTTATCCAAAAGGGTTGTTATTTTTAAAACTTTCGTTACCAAAATAGGCTAAACCTTTGCTATTACTAGCAAGGCACAAATTTAAAAAAGTTTTCAGTGATTTATTTTAAAAAGGCAGATGTATTCACTTTCTGTCACCAGGGATTTAGGATAAGTAGAATTTGCGATTATATCTTTAACTTCATTTTTCACTTTTCTGTTTTCTTCAAATGGACCTATATATATTGAGAATGAGTGACTGCAGTTGTCTAAACAACGTGTGTGGCAGCCAGGTGAACTGGTATAAATTTCAAGACAAAAAAGTGCCATCGTTCCAAAGAATGGCATAAATAGGAGTGATAGAAAACTCAAATGTCGTGTGAAGTTGATCAATCAACCTACCACTATCACAGTATAAAATTGAGGAAGTTCCAACAGCAACTGAACACAGCGTAGGCAAGGAATTTTTCTAAGTGAAATAACTGACTTGGTAATGAGTATGTTTATTCCTTCAATATGGTGAATATTAGACTACATAAAAGCAAGGGATTACAAGTGCCCGACAAAGAATGCGCGATAGCTGGCTATCCGAGCGAGAGGATTTACTTAGCCAACTGCTGAGAAATATACATAAAATATCTGCATTACCGCCACGAGACTTATTAAGACGGTTTACAAAAACTTCTTAATTAGCAAACTCCCAGCACGGGGACACTCAGTTCATTCAAAGGTGTGAAAATGTTCCAGCGGGTCATTAAATGAATGATCATAGGCCCAGGTGTTTGACTATCGATTTAGTCGCGGGGATTCCAGTCAGAAGCAAAGAAAAGTGGCAGCTATGTCCTCTTGTAATTGTACAATGTATGAAGCACTTACATCTCTAAATCCTTTCACCACCGTCACATTACAAGTGCATGCTGAAAACACATTCTGTCCGTGAAAGAGACTTCAGTCTAGGCCTACTGGCAGAGTTTTTACAGTAGTGAACGTCTCTAATACCTGAATATAAGAGTCCATCACTGAATTTCGGCGTTGTTGCTTTTAAAGTCCGTTCACCGACCGTGACTCCATTTCAATTTCAGAGTTCTCTAGGACCGTGGTATGATCCAGGCGGTCGCCTGCGGTTGGTATCATACCTGAAATGTGCGAGTGTTTTAGAACGTCAGAGACCTTTTCCATATTCGCCTTCAACATCAGAATGTAATTTTTCGCAAGCAAAATTGTTGCTATTTTCGAAAGTTTCCGGACTGACGGGCCATTAGCATAGGGCAGAACGTCCCTCAGTCCATCCAAGGCAGCGTTTAAATCATGCATGCGTTTTCTTTCTCGGCTGTTGATTTTTAGTCTTATGTCTTGCATCTGGGATCTACTCAAACAGCGCTGTGTGTCCGTTTTTCTTGTTTTTCGTATGAGTTCATTTTGCGATTTATGCGCTGGAAACAACTTGGCACCTTCGATACGTTTTTTGAATTCACAGACTGATGAAAAGGAGGATGCCTTGGACTCGGGTAGATTTGTAGAAGTCTCCATTGCTTGATTATCCATGGTTCGTTCATATATGGTATGTCTTTCAAGAAGCACGCGTCCAGACCAAGGAGTTCCAACAGACGACGATCAGTCCTACGCTAGTCCTTATTTGGTAGTTAAATAGGTTTTCAGGGCTGACCACCTATTTATATAGTTACATCTCCCACCGGCACTGCAGGGGTTGTAGCTGGTACGCGCACAATGAACAGACGCACCTGTCTAGTTTACCAATTATTGATTTGACCATCGCACAATGTGATTGCGAACGTTTTGATAAGTGCACAACACTGCAATTTTTATCATATTCTACAAATGCATTGGTTACTTTAATCACAATCTTGATATTAACTTCTATTCAAATATTTTCTCTCAAATTTCATACGTATATGTTATTATTAAATGATATTCAAAATGTAATAGTTTGAATGGATTTCAGATTGATTATGAATTGATTATTTACGTAAAGTCAAATGCTTCTCAGTATACCCCCATAATAATTCGAAAAAATATCTATTTAGGAAAAGTGTGTGCCAACGTAGAAAACAACACACTAATGATAATAAAAGGTGACAATGATAGAACGGAATGCCTCATTTCGCGTTTTTTTTCCTACATTTTGTGGTCTCCTGTTCTCCGTTGTCGTGCATAAGGCAGCCCTCCAGGCCTACCCACCACCAGGGCCACAGGAAGAATGGATTTTTTTCACTAGCTGTGTACATCCTTATATCAGGTGAACAAGCTAATATAAATGTCTTCCAGAGAAATGTGGTATCCTGTTAATTTATCGCCCCCACTCTCCTCCAACTGGTGAAATGACCATTTACAAAAACAATCTTACGTTTTAAAGAATTTTCAGTTTCCTCACATGAGTCTCAAGCTCATACACACAACAACTTGCTTTTTATTTCCAAAAACATTTTTGCGACGAGTCGGAATTTGTACAGAGTTCAAAAGTTGGAAAGTGAAAAATTATCTACTTCAATAAGACTCGTCGGTTATGTCAGTGCTGTGTATGACAGCTATATATATATATAACAAGTAGCTGATTATAAACCTTAAATGTCGATTTTGCGAAAAAAAGGTAAAAATATTTAAAGTACCTAGTATTAACAATATTATATGAAAGAAATCTTTTGATATTATCGAGGATAACGCTGATACGAAAAAAAGCCAAAATGATTATAACTGATTAGCAATTTGAAAATTTAAAAGAAAACAGGCGTCTTCATGACGTAAAGCACTCTACGTTTGAGAACTTAACTTGTATTTATATCTAATATTATTCCCACCGAACGCCATAAAAACAAATTTCTCCTAAGATATATATTTCGTAACTAAATCCTATAAATCTTGGACACTTGATACACGTTCCATGCACCCAGAGCTAAATATACTGGTATTTAGCACCACATATGAACTATGATTACGTCATCGTGACAATAACAGATTTACAATCTAGCAAAAATGTCCAAGTGATTAGAACAGTCGAGTCAGAATAAGAAAAAACATTAATGCAGCCAAACTAGCAGCTGGCAGAGTTCCTTTGCTAGTTTTGACATCACAACCTGAAATAAAGAACGTGTACAAATTACAAACAAAGAACTAACGTTAAGAGATGCTTTTTGGATCATTTTATTCAGCACTATGTATATAATATATTGTGTACAGTTAAATATAATTTAAAAGTTTTTAGAAACATGGAAAATATGACCGCACACCAGTGCTAGGGAACATATGGATTTATCTGCTTCAGCAATCAACAGATCCAGTTAATATTTTTACACCATCATTATACTGAATCGCTTTTTCATTTGATGGAAGTTTGAAACTTTATGTTTAACGTTATGGCTGTAGTAAACACGAAGAACATTTATTGATGTAATTCATTTATACGTTTTATGCTTAGATCCAAGAGACACATACGTCATACTGACACTTAAATAAAAATTATGTTTATTCCTGGTCTGAACTTACTTTTGTCTTGCGGTGTATCAACATGTTCTGCGAGAGAGATACAGAGCACACTTTGCATAACCCCATCCAACATGGTAAGAGTTTCCTGCGGGAGACTGGTTGTCCTTGAACATACTTTAGAATCGTGTGCCATACAGGTCATATTTGGAAAAAATTCTGCACATGTATACACCAGAGCGTAAGATGTGTAGTCCGTCTTGATTACCCATTGATGTCTGGTGCCTGAGAATAAAACTTTATAGTTATATAACAACGTAAAAAAAATAATAAAAAATAAATAAATAAATAAAAATTTAAAAAAATACCACATGTGACAGAATAACGATGAGACCAAGTGACCTATGGTGGAGATGCGGGGAATTTTTCATCCCTCGCTCGCCTTGTTACCTAGTTTGCAAGGGGAGTTATGGAAGTTCCCACGACGAGCGCGTTTGAGTGTAAGAGCCAAAATGCTTGTGTCAAACTTAAAAACATTTTCTTGAACGCATTCTGAACAGATGTTCCCCGGACTAATTGATCCGCATACTAAATATGGCCGACCCTACTTGAAAAGCGAAGCCATTAATTTTCTGGTGGTCTCCCCATCGCCGTCGCTGCTGGGGCCTTGCAAATAAACTTCGAAGCCGAGATTTAATCCGTTTAATGGCGCGTGTGGAGGCGGGGAGACCATCAGGAAATTATCGGCATCGCTTTTTAAGTGGGATCGGCCATATTTAGTCAGCGGATCAAGTAGTCCGTGGATCATCTGTTCTGAATGCGCTCTTTGTTTTAACTTACACAGCAGGTTTTAGACTGTGAGGTACCGTTTAGAAATTACATACACGTGTATTTAGATGTGCAGAGCGCCAGTAGGCCCAACGCGGGGGTGCGCACAATAAATATATATATATATATCCTGTGCATGGAAAAAGTGGTCTAATGGAATAATACTCTAATGTGTTTATTAAAAAATACTATTAAAGGTAAGTTGTTTTAGTCTAATTATGGTTAGTCGGACTCCTTGGTAATGTTATAAATGTCATGCCTCAGAATATTCTGCATCAAATATAAAGAATTCACCTTCCATGAGCTTTCCTGGAGTGTCACTTGTATACAGCGTATTCTTTATTACTAAACAGGTTTTGTTTGCAGGAGTTTCTCTGGAATCAGATAGTAAAATGTATAGATTGTGACAAATTGTCTAATATGTTCATTAATCACCTTATTTGAACTACATGTAGGCCTACCAATATCGGCTTTTTGTCTGCAATCCTGTGCTTTTAAATGGTCCTTAATACTTCACTTGGGTTTATCATGGTTTATTTTTTACATAATTTAACTAATAACAAAAGTAAGTCTATTCAAGCCATTCGGATTTTTGGTTGATAGAAAATGACGCGACACTAAAATAATCTTAGTTATCTAAATGTATATGATCTGTTTATTAACCTTGCTCGGATGGTCACGGTGAAGTTACCGGTGTTGGACATTTCATATGTTGTCTGGTAATCTGACCAAATGTCGGACGGAGCATGTGTAAAAGGTGGAAACCATTTGACTTCGTACCACTTTCCAAGATACTGAAGAAGAAAAAGGGGCAAAGTATAAGTGATAGGTTTCTTCCAAGCCTATTTCCAGATATAAAAGTGAAATACACGACGGGTCTGGTATGACAAATCCCGATTGATTGAATTGTCCAGTGTTTAAATTTTTTTTTTGTTTCAAAAATTAAAAAGTGGACTTGAAATGGAAGAACGTATTATAGGATATACATAGTGATTTTTTAAAATCCTTATAAAATTGCTCAATTTTGATGTTTACTTTGGGAAGTATTGTGTTAATGTAAGGCTGTATTCCCAGAGCTTTTAGATCGATCTATCCCCGCTGGGAGTCTCACTAGATTACTGTCAGATAATCCGGCTTAAATGTCCGTTCCGCCTACTACAAGCTGTAAGGGGGTAATTTCGTGTCCGCTCGGCTGACAGCTATTTAGCGTGAACCCCCAGGGAGTTAGGTCGATCTAAAGTAGATCGATCTAATCTCTGGAAATGGGGTCTAAGACCTTTTTGTTGGTAGTCTTTGTGAAACTCCAGCTGTCAGGGGACATCTGGGCGTGTAAGAATATAACATATCTAAAGACTGATATCGATTCGAACTGTAAACTTTGATTCTTACCTGGTTAATATCAAAGTTCTCTTGCGTCAAAATGGTTGTAACATTACAGACATTGGTGTCATTATGTCCACTTGCCTTAACGAAGGCAAGAAGAACCACCATCATGCAAACAGAAAACATATTGGTCGGCTGAGACATGATGGGCGGTTTCTCAGAACAGAGCGATACTGTGCAATGCCCGTATGCAATAGTTGAGTTGGACTACTACTAACGGTGCCTGGAAGCTTGTGGTACACAAGGGTAGCGATGATTAAGCCCCAACGTTTACAGGTTATCTTCTTTTTCATACACAGTGGCAGTAATAATGAAGTTTGAAATGCATCGCGTCCTCACGTCTATTATGGTCTAATGACGCTGGGTTATTCAGGTAAGGTAAAAATGAGGGAAAACAGTACGTATTTCAACGCTACAAGGCCCTTTGCAGCCCTGGGAACTTCATTATCAGGTGTACAGTGCGGAACAGTGAATTCCTATTTTGTTTCCAACAAGACTGAATAACAAAAAGGACAGCGGTAGTCGATAGTCGCCTTTTATTTGGATTCTGAAGTTTCATTTCACTTGTTACAATCAAATGAAGAAAGCAATGTTGGCCCAAATTTAAATATGTCACCTGTACATTTTTAAAGACTTTCTTTCAGCACTGCAGCGGGCTTTTTGTAAAGATTTTATTAATAAAAATAACAAACTGCTCTGTCTTGTTTTCATTTTATATCTAAAACTGTGCACCAATTCTTTTGTGTGCCTGTCTTTGTGTATTTATTTATTGATCGGACTTCTGCATTTTAACTAAAATATTATTACATTAGAAAAAGTCTAATATTTGATTTGACAACTGAAATTACAGCTAAAATTAGTTATTTCTGTTTCTTTCAAGTTACTCTTTCATTGGAGTAAGACCCTTGAATGTATTGTAACGAATTGCGACTCTTTTTAATATCCCAGATTTACATACGTGTTGTCGTACATAAAGGGGTCTGATGATCACATCCAACTCCAATTTAACATCAAAGAAGAAGAAAATGAAAGCTATGGATTTAAGGGCCCTTTTCCAATGAAACTATGGTTCTACCTGGATTTATTCAACTCAGCTGGCACTCTCGCTGAATGCAATCAAATTAAAGTCTCCGCTTGTTTCCAATGTACTTGTGTAAGCACCACCTTTTCGCAAAGCAAAGAGGCATGTAAATCTGTTAATCTGATTGCATTCAGCAAGAGTCCCTGTGGATTTGGATCAATCTACATATAGAACAATAATTTCAGTAATACATAATAACCAAAATAAGTAAAGATTACTTGTCTTGAAACCGTTTGTTGAAATTGTTTATATGATAGATATATATACGTAACCAAATAACGTGAAGGTAGTGTTTTCTGATTTCATTGTTTGTTCTCTGTTGTCGCGACTCTGTGGTTGCACTGTATATGTGGATTCATGTTGATTCACCGTATAGATCTTGATAAAAATAGAAGTATATATATTGATGCACCTTGAAAGACCTACAGTATAGTTGATAAATACAATCCAACTATAATGTAGATCTTTCAAGGTGCATCAATATATATACTGTATATGTGCGCACGCTTGTTATTACGTCGCTCATTCTTCTTTGTTACGTTAATATGTATCAGTAACGTATGTATCATATTTACGTAACAAAGAAGAATGAGCGACGTTAAAACATGAGTGCGCACATATACAACATCGTACGCACCCACAGAGTCGTGACAAAGGACAACAAAAAATGAAATCAAAAAACACCTTCACGTCATTTGGTAACGTATATATCGGTAACGTATCTATCATATAAACAATTTCAACAAACGGTTTCAAGACAAGTAATCTATTTAGTATAGCGTTAGAAAAAGGCGTTTGCTCACAGAACGGACAACAAACAATAAAAATAAAAGTATTAAGATAAATATTTATTTATTCTATTTCCATTGGTTGTCTTTCGTTTTGTGGGCCAACACGTCTTAATGATACGTTAAAATAAAAGAAAACGAGACAAATAAGATTTCTTGCCTTCAACTATCTGTGAAAATTGTTCATATGATACACACGTTACCGATACATGTGACCAAATTATATGAAGGTGTTGTTTTCTGATTCCACTGATTGTTCTCTGTTGTCACGACTTGTGAGTGCGTGCGACGTTGTATATGTGCGCACGCTTGTTTTTATGTCGCTCATTCTTCTTTGCTACGTAAATATGATACATACGTTACCGATACATACGTTACCATACCGTATGTATCGGTAACGTATGCATCATGTTAAAGTAACAAGGAAGAATGAGCGACGTAATAACAAGCGTGCGCACATATACAATGCAATCACAGTCGCGACAACAGAGAACAAACAATGAAATAATAAAACAAGGCAGCAAAGCTGTCAAATGTACAGACAAAAAGCAGGAAATAACTATGCACAAAATAGGCTAATGTCAATTCTGATGCAAAAGTACATTATGTTAAACTGCAAATTTAACATCAAATTTTAATTATGCTCAACAGGTAATACCAATGTAAGTAAAATGTGTAACAAGCATAAGGCTTCAGGCCCATGGGAGTTCAAGTTCACACTTTGAACATGTATAACTTCCAGAAAAAGAAGCCAATTAGACTGCTTTTCCAACTCAGGCTGCATGCCGATTTCGAACTTGACTTGCGTTTTAGTAAGATCAATTACTCCTGTGAGTTTCATGACAACAAGCCTATCGGTTTTTCTTGAAATGTGTTTACAGTGTTGCATATATGCTGAAAAGTGAAAAAAAAA